ACTACTCAGAATGCTACAAACTATACTCCTTATTCCCTGGTCTATGGAAGTGAGGCGGTTTTACCCCTCGAGGTTCAAATACCCTCACTCCATATCGCTATACATCAGGGACTGACCGAAGATGAGAGGGTCCAGCTTCGTTATCAGGACTTGAATGCTCTTGATGAAAAGAGGCTAGAGGCCCAACAAAACAGTGAGCTCAATTAGAGGAGAATGAAGAGAGTCTTTGACAAGTCTGTCAAGGTTCGCTCATTCACCCATGGAGATCTAGTCTTAGCAGTCAAGAGACCGATTGTCATGCACGAGCACCGCAAAAGAAAGTTTGAACCCAAGTGGGAAGGTCCATTCATAGTAAAAAAGGTCACACCAAATGAGGCCTATATACTGGCAAACTCTGATGGAGAAGAGGCGATGGCCCCTATCAATGGGTGATACTTAAAGAAGTATTATCCCTGATATGTTCTTAAAATGCAGTGCGTGCAATAAAAAGAAATGCCCTCATCATAAAGAAGAAGCCAACCATTTTCGAGTCAGCTTCAATTCGTCTGACATACAAGCAGACTTCACCGGCCAGGAACTGACCCATGATGGTTTTCCTTCCTCCAAAACAACATGGACTTCACTGTTGTGCTGGAGGACTTGGCTTCCAAAAGACCACAGTGGCCGGGCCTTCTAATTTGCCATCACTATTGGCCCCCACAAGGCATTGCCATCCATGGTCATCACCGCGCACAACTCAACGCCACGCTTGATTAGCGTCGCACACTTCACCAAGAAGCTAACGTTGTGTGCATTATTCACCAGAGGGTAACATTGTGCACTCCTCGTGTGCTTCACGCAGGGACTAATGCCGCGTGCACCATCCAACACCTAGTGATGTGCGCATCATATGGAACTCCCACCTGGACCATCATTCTGCATCCTCAGAAAGTTTATTCCCTGCATCACAATCACACTCCTTAGGGAGTCGAGTCTCCAGTGATGACTCTATTCCCCATGGAGTCCCTAAAACTGTAATGGTCTGTGCAGCATGACCTTAAATTGCACGTTCATAGTCTAGATGCATGACCCTAAACTACATGGTCCAAACTATATGACCCTAAACTATAATGAAGGTCTAGTTGCACGACCTTAAACTGCATGGTTCTCGTTGCGTGACTCTAAACTGCATAACCACGGTCCAGCTGTATGACCTTAAACCATAGCGCACGTCTTAGCCACATGACGTTAAAAGGCTTAGCACCATGGTCCAAACTACATGACCTGAAACTGTAGCGAAGGTCTAGTTGCATGACCTTAAACTGCATGGTCTTAGCTGCATGACTTTAAAATGTATAGCCATGGTCCGATCTACAAGACCTTAAAATGGTAATGCACAGCATGATAAATAGTCCATACATATGACTTTAACTATGAAATTGACCACCTCTTCGCCAGGTGTACTTCATCAACATCCCCCAGTGGAGATAGGGGTATCCAAAAGAAAAAGGGGATCGTGCTTACCCCTTCAATCCCCAGCGAGTCTGTTTCACACCAACATCCCCAATAGGAGTCACATCCCATTGCGACCCACTGTCCCTATGGAGTTAAGGTCATTCTTATCCTTTCAACCCCTAGTGGGGTTACATCTATGCTCTGGCCTGTCATTCTCAACAGAGTTACATACATACCATTACTCATTATCCCTGGGGAGTCACACTTCTCTTCCTAATCCCCAGTGAAGTTCGCTTCCGCTTACCACTCCTCATATGGCCACCATCTTCAACTAAAGCTCTTTGCTTGTGTATAGCCTTAGTTATTTTTATCCCCAGGGAGTTAGATTGTTGTCCACAGATCTATCCCCATGCAGCTTCACCTACATGAAGACCCACACAATGGTCCGTGCTGCACGACCTTAAACTGCACAGCCGTGGTCTAGGTGCACGACCCTAAACTGCATGGTCCAAACTATATGACCTTAAACTGTAACGGTGGTCTAGTTGCACGACCTTAAACTACATGGTCCTAGTTGCATGACTTTAAACTGCATAACTACGATCCAAGCTAAATGACCTTAAACCATAGTGCACGTCCTAGCCGCATGGCGTTTAACTGCTTTGCCTAAGTCCAGGAGGCATGACCTTAAAGATGCCACCACATACGGGCACACGCCCTTTACTTGCATCTTCATGCATGCCTTCCCTAACCGACCCATTCGTGTGCGTGCACCACCTTCATTTTTTCCATCATTCTTCAGTGAGTTTCACCTATGCTCATAAAACGACGAACCATTCCACTATCCATACTCGTCGTCAGCTAGCACCATTCATACATCATCCATCTTTCATAGGTAGCCTCGTGCTATTTGACGGGCCTCATACTTTACCAATTTATCGATTTGTTTGCACCTGAAATTAAGGCGGGAGCGTAGTCCCCTACGCGCAATTTCGAGTATAAACACTTCTACAAGAGCTTGGGTCTTGTTTTTGACCAAAATGTCCCCCTAGACCAACTCCGTGCAGCTCATAAATGATTTTAAGTTAAAGGGAATACTCAGGTATACAAAGGCGATTTCCTTTTAATAAAAAGCCTTCATGGAGGATGAAATCTAGATAGGTCCCTTGAGTTTAGTATTTCTTTAGGATTTCTTGAAAATAGGGGTCATTTTTATAATTTTGAGGTAAATTCTCAAATTCAACTGCCTCATATGTGTGAGTCTGAAGAAGGTAGGCCCTTTGACTAAGTGCATCAACGACCTTGTTCATAGCTCCTGACTTATAGCAAATAGTGAAGGTAAACTCTTGAAGATACGATATCCATTTTCCATGTCGAGAATTCAACTACTTTTGTGAATTTAAATAACGTAAGGACCCACTTGTAGTCTGATCTTACTCAGGGCTTGTGCATCAGTAAATCTCCAAATGTTTAGTCGAACGAACCTTCTATCCGGGTTTCCATCAGTTCTATGATCAACTTCTTGGATAGTTCCAAAAACAATAAGCTTTTGAAATAACGGCAATTGGCAAGCATGTAAAGGTACACCCCATAGACGGATCCATCATTCCCTTTTTTGAATAAAACAACCATGTGCCGTAGGCTTTCATTCTTCCACTGTCATCAGCCTACCACGAAGTCAATAGAACCTCCTTCCAAGAGCATACCTGGCATCCTCCTCAGAGTTCAAAATAAAACCTATCCTTCGATGGCCCAGAATTCTCACTTTTGGATGATACGATAGACCCATCATCTCGTAGGCCAATCACTTCGAACCAAAAATATCATCGGAAGGTGGGCTGAAAGAACCAACCACCACAGTTCTCCTCACCTTATTAGCCTCAGCGATCTCCTTCTCCTCTCTAATAGTTACCAAGGTTCACCAGAATTTCTACAACCGGTTGCCTCTCTAAAGCGAACTGGTTCAACAGAAACCAAAAATTTCGACAAAGTTTCCATAAGGAGTTATTTGGTTGGGGCTTTTTCATCGTAGCCCCGTTGGTCTTTTTATTATGAAATAAAATGAATATTAATGTATTTTCATAAATATATTTGACATATATTTCTTTATTTACTTGTTTTTTTGGATTTTTATTATTTGGTATAATGAAACCTATCCTAGCTTGGTTTTAGAAAGCAATTAAGTATTGGACACAGTTAGCATACAGCCAAGCCCACACACGTAGAAATACAAGCTTGACAATTAATATATTTTTTAAATATAATTTGATCTTAATTTTTAGAGAATATATAATCATTAATATGAATAAATAAATAAATTTTAAAAACTATAAATAATATTTATATTAAAAAAACATTTGGACTTAGTTACAATTGTTGTTAGATAAACCACCTATTTGCATCCATCTTGAAGATGGATGCTTTATACCTCTAGACTGCATATTGTACAAATGCGGTCCAGCCCAAATGAAACAATAGTTCTTTCTTTTTGTTTTGATGCATGAAATTTACATTGACACAGTTTATACGAGTCCATGTAGAAATGAGTGACCTCTTAAAAATCCATTTTTGAGATGGATTTTGAAAATTAAAAATAATAATTCTATTAAAAAATGTCTGGACTGTAAATTTCAATTGTTTTTAAGTAGACCACCTATTTGCATCCATCTTTAAAATTGATCTTTATACCTCAAGGACCGCAAATGTAGAAATGGAGTCCACACAGCATGAAGCAATTTTCCAATATGTATTGAAGGGGAGATAAATTTACTGTGTTTAGCTTCCACTCAAAACAAATAATCTTTTCTACCACGCTATAAAATGGGATTTAGTAGAAACTATTTTGAATATTCTAATATATTAAATAACAAACTCCCAAACAACCTCAATGGACTATTCAAATCCTGTCTCCATATATCAATCACTATAATAAACGATGAAAAGATGAATGGATAAGGAGCACTGGTCTTTTTCATTTATAATTTGTCTGGATTTCCTCATATATGGGATATGCACAGAGTCGATCGTTTTCCCTCTTCACAAGCACGCACAAAATTTGATCTGACTATATGATTATAATGTATATATACGGTGAGTAACAATCATAAAGTCTTACGAAAGTTATCTAGTGTGTCATAATTCAATCTGCTAGTTCCCTTTTTTATTTCAAATCTCCATTACCATGCTTCTCTCTTCATTTGTTATAAATATATCCCCAAAAAAATTAACATAGAGATTAACGAAAAATGCATACCAATATAATTCCCATTAGTGCCACAAGTTCTTTCAGACACGTGCTGAGCACGTGCCACTCTCTCTCTCTCC